CTTTCTCTGGCCAAATTAAAAAATAATAACAACAAATGGAATTACATCAATTATTTTTAAGAGTTATAATGAAGAGTAATATGTAGTTTTCTAAATTCCTCATTAACATTAATCTCTTAAGTCTAACATTAACCAGAACTCATAATAGTACTTTGCATAATGCTTCTCCTTTATTTTCCTATAGTTTATCTTTTTTTTTTTTTTGGAGAGGTTTTTGCTATAGGGCGCGTGCGCTTGCCAGAAAGACAGAGAGAGACAGAGATAGAAAACGAGAAATCACCCCCAGGGGGGATGGCCACACCACAATCCCTTCTCCTCCATTCTCCTCTTGGGATCTTGGGCATGCATGCACACGCAGCCGGTGTATGATTAAGCCACCGGGTCTGGGACTCGAACCGTGGTTGGCTACATGGGAGTTCAACACATAGCCATTATGCTAACTGCTGGTCCCTATAGTTTATCTTTCTTCCATGAGTTTGCTTAACCAGAATAAAGGAAGGATGCAGACATAATTCTTATCCTAGAGAACTCTACCTCCTGTAATACTCTAACACAGAATCTTGTTTATTTCCTTTCAGCATTTGATATACTCTGAAATTATTTTAATTAATTGCTGTTTAACTACCTCCCTATGTAAGTTTCTTGAAAGCAGAGAACATCCACATCTTGTTCACTACCCTATCCCCACTCCAGCCTGCCACTTGGAACAGCATTCAGCACACAGGCCCCTTAGGAAATATTTGTGAATGAATAAATGAAGGAAGAAATACTATACACTGGATGATGTTCGAATTGACTAGAATTTCGATACTAGCAAAGGAAATGGGAGGAGTCAAATGATAGCCAAAACTACTCAAAATAAAACAATAAGCTATTTCGCAAAGCAGAGTAGAGAATCCCAAAAGTTCATAAAAAAGTCAGTCTTTGTCCACTAACTTCATGAACCAGAAAACATGCCTACCCAAACATGCCTTTCATCATCCAGGACAAACGACTGCCAAGTTAAGTTCACCTGAAAAGATCTCTTATTTCAGACTTGACATTGGCAGAAACTACGACCTGACCTGACAGCCTGGCAGACACCCAAGCAGTCCCTGGAAGTTAACATCCCAGCTGAGGAAGCAGTAACAGAGTAACAATCTCTGACCACACTCCCTAGGTTTACCGTTTACTCATTCATAAAGTCACCACACAGACACCTGCTCTATACCACCTACCAATCCTCAGCCTTTTGGGGAAGTAGATTTCTCAAAAGGCAACAGGTAACTCAAGGGGCCACTCAGAAACCCTCCTCCTGAACAGCCTGAATTCTAAAGATGACCCCCCAGGTGCGTTTTCTTCATGTCTCCCCTTATCCCAGGACACTGCTTATTTAGTGGTATGCTCAGATCCTGATTTTCCACATTCCTCAGAAATACTAAGGCAAGTAAACAGCAACCATCTGTGGGTTATAAAACCAGCAGGTCGCTAACTTGATAACTTCACATTAGGTTTCTAGTGGGGGACAGAGATGGCAAAATAGAAAGTATTCTTTCTTGTACTGTCCTAGTTGAACAAGAGATCCATGAGTGCAGGGACATGATTTATTCATATTTGTGGCCCCAGCATCTATGATACAGTGGGCAATCAGTAAATGCCTGATGAATAAATTATTAAATGAACAAGTAAACATCCACATCAACCACCACCAAACCAGCCAGTCTGAGATCAGCAGATCAGAAGATCTAGAGTACATTAAATCACTCCTCTACTTTTGTTGTTGTTGTTTTCTAGAGATTTTTTTTGCTATCGGGTACATGCAATTGCTAGAGAGAGAGAGAGGGAAACTGAGAAATCACCCCCCAGGGGGATGGTCACATTGCAATCCCTTCTGCACACACTCCTGATGTGAGTTTCAAGCCACTGGGTCTAGGACTCAAACCATGGTTGGCCACATGGGAGTCCAGTGCCTTTACCACTACACCACCTGCTGGCCCCCACTCACCCCTCTACTTCTAAAAGCCTGCCCTGGTCCCACTCTGTCGAAGTTTTAGAAATTCTCCTTTTTTTTAAAAAAAAAAAAAAAAAAAAACCATGAATCAAATTTTCTGAGGGGAATTTTATTGATTACTTTATTCCTTCACAAAAGGACCAACTGTAATCAAATGAGGTGAACATTCACCTCAAGATTTTCTTGTCTTCGTAATAAAACAAAAGATGAAGCTTAAACTGAATCACTTGACCCTTTCTCCTCTTATCTCCTCCCAGTTCTAATAGCCAGCGTCTCTTAGACCCGCAGTTGGGCTCAACATATTCAGGCCTCAGCACTATATTCTTTGTAGTTTTGGCCTTTTTCCAGAAAGTGGGCTTAGTCTGTCCACCAAGCTCTGCTTCCTGTCAGAACGCCGCTGTCCCTGAGCACAGAGAATCCTTGCCCTTTTTGTACTGTGTCACTTTGTGAGGATGGTACTTGCCACACTTCTTACAGAAGGTCCGGTGGGTTTTAGAGATGTTCACCATGCTTGCGGGCCTGCTAGCTGCACAGAGAGCAGAAATTCTCCTTTCTAAAGAGACATCAACCATACTGTCATTACTCCCACCCCCTCATAGTAGATGGTTTTTACCTACATCTGTGTGTGTGTGTGTGTGTGTGTGTGTGTAAACTGGGTGACTTTAGTCAAATTACTAACAGGGTTTCAGTTACCTCCTCTATAACCTAGGCTTGGATTAGATGACTTCTAAGATCTTTTCCAGGTTTAAAAAATAAACTTATGAAGTTGTAGTAAACTTCGTTCACTAACCTATGATTCTTACATTCGTGTTCTGTCTAGGTATGAATGTTTAATTTATTTCAGTCTTAATATAATAATTATCAGAAAGGGGTACTAATACATAAAGAACTTTTGGTCTCAGATACTTCAAATTCAAAATGCCGTTATAAAGTAAGTTCGTTCTTTACATTCTCTTTTCTTTTTTTGCCAGATGGTATGTGTGCTTATTGAAGAGAGACAGAGAGAGAGAGAGAGAGAAAGAAAGCACCTCCCATGGACATGATCATGCTACAAAACCTGTTCCTCCATTCCTCCCTCCTTTCAGGATTTTGGGCATGCACGCACATCTGCCTGGTGTGCTTCTCATGCGACTGAGTCTAGGATTCACAGTGTGCGGTAGGTCACATGGATTTCAGCTGCCCTAACCCTCATGCCACTGGCTAGCCCAGTTCCTTGCATTCTATACCTAAGAATCAGATTCCTTCAGAATTTACAGATGAATGAATGGCTTTTCCCTCCCCTAACATGGACAAGAATGTCTTCTCCAAACCCATTTCGATCACCATCATAGGTCACAGGAAATAACTTAGACACATGAAGAATCCAAAACCAAGAGCATAGCTGCAAAATGAAATTTGATCCTCTCTTCAAAAAAAAAAAAAGTAAAGCCACTTTAATGACTTTCTGAAAGAATGTGGGAAAAACACACAAATAGCAATCAGCAGAAAGGAGACTTGATTCAGTCACAGGCACGTCAGGCAAGGCCCCAGCCAGACACAGGCTTCCGGTGAGGGGAGCGAATGGGACACTCTTACGGCATGGCAGATCTCACAGCAGGTAGGTCGCTCTTTTCAAAAAACATGTGGAAGACAAAATTAGAGGTCTGACAATATCTAGAAAGTCTTCTCTTATAGCCAAAATTCAGAGCACCAAGCCAAACTTCTTAGCAGTACATTCTTATATTTGATGTCTCCAGCTGAATGCCATGGACTCCACCAGCTTTTGTTACAACACCACCAACACCTGGCTTGACCTTCCTAAATTCCAAATGGGGATACCAGAAGCCAATGACTAAGACTCACTGTCTTTGGTATTGTCTTAGTACAGAGAAAGGGAGGGGGAAAAAACCCACAAAAACAAAAATCCCCAAAACAGAACATTAGTCTTCAACCTTTCAAATAAAACAGAAGAAATACTCAAATATTTATTGGTTGAAATCTGTACAGACAGACCTCAAATGGAATGAAACTCCTCCAATCTTTCAGTTGGAAAAGACTTCCGCAATTAGCAGTATTTAACCCAATGCCTGCCCCCTCGATTACATCTCTGACAGACAAGTCATCTAGTCTCGCTGGAACACAAGCTCTGATAGGGAATCCATTACTTTACCATGACTATACTGTGCTGGTGGCAGCTCTAAACGTTGTTAGAATGCTTTTCTAAACTAAAGCAAAAGCTATCACCAGGCCCCACCCTCTCCCTCTATAACTTTCACATAATGGTCCTTATCCTGCTCTACAAAACAGCATAATCTATTCCCATGCATGGTGGAATTTTCCTGGAAAATTATTAAAGAAAGCACTTCCTTTTTTTTTAGAGAATTTTGCTATAGGGTACATGTGCTCGCCAGAGAGACAGAAAGCAAGAAATCACTCCCCCCCTCCCCCGGGGGGGATGGCCACACTGCAATCCCCTGTCCTCCATTTTCCTTTCAAGATTTTGGGCACATGTACACATGCACCCAGTGTGAGTTTAAGCTGCTGGGTCCAGGACTCGAACAGCAGTTGACTATGTGAGACTGCAGCGACGTAACCATTATGCCATCTGCTGATCATGAGAAAGCACTTCTTTACATAAACATTTGTTGTAGTTCAACCTTGCAATATTATCATGAGCAAGCCAGTGGCCTTTATTTTAGAAAATCCTTCATGGGACCAGCAGTTGGTGTGATGGCTATGTTGCTGGACTCCCATGTAGTCGAGGTGGCTTACACT